GCTGTTCAGAAGGTTGAAGTCTGCATGTTGGTAGGAAGAGATCCAAAGCTTTGTCTTCTCAGCCCCTCTCCTTATGGCTGCAGCAAATGCCTTTGTAGAGCACCTCAGTTGCCAATCATATTGGTCTCTCCAGCAGGGAGTTCCTGGAGGGTGGTGTGAAAGCTCTGGGTGCCTGAAGTGTAGGGGGTGTGTATCTGAGTAGCCAATCAAGGAAAGGAGGAACAGCACCCAACCCGGCTTCCTTCAGATATTTGCCCTGTAATAGACACTGGAAAGCCAAGGGGACAGGAGGATGATGCCCTTGGAATCAAAGGTAGAAATCTGTTTGCTGCGCAAAAAGACCATTTTGCAACTTGCCTCCTTTAAATAATCCTGCCGTGAAGGGTGTTATTTAGTTAACCCGGCCTAAGGCGATGTTTTAAAGGTGGAGGATTGCCCTGGTGATGAACAAATATGAGAAATAAACTTCCAGTGGGGCTGGGTTGCCTGCTGACTGTGATTTCCTGATGATCTATAACAATGGTTATTCACTAACAGCTGGCGCATGTCTCCCTAGGACAAAGCCACTGGGAAGAGCAGGCCTTCTGATTGGTGAACCAGAACCGTTTCCCTGGCAACCGTTAACTAGCACGTGTTTTATTGTTTCCAACTGCTTTTCCTGGGGTATTTGCAGGTGGTGGGAGATGCTTTCTTAAAGAGGGGTCATAACCTCATGAACTTTCAGATGTTGCTACAAATTGGGGAACAAAACATTTTTTTTTCTTTCAAATATTTTAAGTAAATCTTATTAAGTAGCATTTTCAGGACAGATGCAGCCCAACAGTTTTTCTTTTTTCCTTTTTGCCATTATTTCCAGATGTTATTAATTTTAAAGGCAAAGTTTCATATTACAATCATGATCTATAGGAAGGTAGTATTAGAAGTATGGTGACAGAATATGGTTTTGGCCTTTTGAGGTGTGTGTTCTGGGTCCACATTTTTCCTGAAAATGTGAGATAAACCATAAAATTTGAGTGTATTTTTAGTTGGCTTTTTAAAGCTTTGCATATTTTGCCTCTTCATAAATTAACTCAATGTTTTTTGCCTTTATTTCACTTCTCTTCCCATTTTGAACACACCAGAAAATTAATAGTGTTGTTATAAAACACAAAACTACATTAAACTTAATCATAATAGACTATCATTCTATATTTACTTGAAATATTTTGAAAGGACTGGTTAATTTCCAGATGGATAGCTCCCTCTTCTGTTTGGTTTGCAAAATTTGCATCTTTTGAAAGCACAGAAGGAAGATGCTCTATTTATCACAGAATTCTCTTTTGTGGCTGAAAGTGAATGTCGATAGCAAATTCGTAAATTGAAATATGGAGGATGCTTCCATTGTTCTATAATTTGGTTTAAAATAAAGCCATCTATCCTGCTGTAAATGGTGGCTAACAGAAAATGAAAACATTCTTTTCAATTAATATTGAGGTTTATCTACATCCATTTCTGAAAAAAAATTTTGCAGACCTGATCAATCACCTGCCTGAACTCTATTTGAAACACCTGGATTTTGGTCAAGTAAGCATTTGCCACTCAATTTGCACAGCATTCAAATAACATGGCCATTCTTCTCTTCAACCTGATTTGCAAGCCATTCCTGGTGAGTGTACTTCCTGGGTTTGTGAACCTGCACCTACTGATAAATAAGACCTCTGGCATTCAAATAATCGTCTGCAGGACCTCCTGATTTTTAAAGGTCTTTATGAAACTTTGTTCTTGAAATATTTTTCCTTTGTTTCCTTGGGTACAATTCATTCATTACAGCCAGTTAAGCTTATGCTCTGAAAATGAACACAGAATGATCTACAACCTAATTTCACAACCATAGAATCAAAAGAGCTGGTTAAACTATTTATGATAATGAGGGTACTCAGGTCCACCTTTCTAGAGATCAATGAAGTAATAATTTTTGACTATGAAGAGGAAAATGTTAATTAACTCAGACTTATCCTTCTCATTTCCCTAAATGGCAGGTGGTAGAAATTATATAACCCTAATTATATGAATGTATATTAGATGAACACTGTTCTCTCCAGTTTCCTTTTTTTAATTGATGCGTTATAATTATACATAATAGTGGGATATGTTGTTATATATTTGTACATGAACATAACATAATTTGTTCCATTCCATTTGGAATTCTGTTGTTGGGAGGGCACACCTCAGGCTTTTCTGAAAGAGAAATGACATTTTGCCTCATATCTTCCTGTAATATGTCTTTGTATTCTTTCTTATAAGTTTTTATGGGGGCACAAATTATATTGTATTAGAGAATACATTTGAACATTAGTGGAATAAGATCAGGAAACTATTCATTATAAATTTGGAGAATTTATAATATATTTGAAAATTTTAAATTACCTATTTATCTTGAAGTAGGCAAAATAACCAAGGCATCAAGTGTTAGATAATAAATTTCATATGGGATGAAGGATTGTTGGAAACTATAGACCAGAGCACACTTGATTAACTTTTCTTTTCATAGATGACCCTCTCAGGGATCTTTCAGGGTCCTGCAGCTAGCAGGTGTGGGTTTTTTTTTTTTTTTTTTCTGGCTCCCAGTGCTCTTTAGCCCAGGCCACAGAGCACAGCATTCAAGGAGTTTTTGCCTTAGGGTACTTGGCTGTGGCTCCATGAATACTGATTCCCTGATTTCTTTCCTTTTCTGAGGGCAGACTCTAGCTCCATTTTACAGAATTGCATCTCACTGACTTCTTAACTGAGTGACTTTAGGCTAGTTAACCAGCCTCTCTCTACTTCAGTTTTTACTTCTGTGAAATGACAGTAATAATAGTGCATCTCTCAGAGTTGAGACCAATAATATGTGTGGCACTATGCCTGACACAAGGTAAGTACTCAATAAACATTAGCTATTATTGCCTTTCTTCTTCCAGTGTGTATGTTGTGTTCTTAATTTAGGCTGCAGCATGCACCATTTTTTTTTTTAAATCATGTTCTAAAATAACTGAAGGCTGTATGCTTATTTTCATAGCCAGCATTATATGTAATAGCCAAAAGGTGGGAGCAACTGAAGTGTACATTGACAGATGAATGGATAAGCAGAATGTTGGTATATACAGACAATGGAATATTATTCAGCCTTAAGAAGAAAATAAATTCTGATACATGATACATCATGGATGAACTTTGATGACATTTTGCCAAGTAAAATTAGCCAGTCTCAAAAAGACAAATATAGTATGATTCCTTATATAGGAGATACCTAGAATAGTCACAGACATAAAAACAAAAAGTAGAATGGTGATTGCCAGGGGCTGGAAGGAGAGGGAAATGGAAAGCTCTTGTTTAATGGGTATAAAGTTTTGCAAGATGAACAGAGTTCTGGAGACTGGTTGCACAACAATGTGAATGCACTCTTAAAAATGGCTTAGATGATAAGTTCCGTGTGTATTTTACTACAGTTAAAACAAAAACAATTAAAGGGCCTAGTGCAATTAGAACAAATTAATTACATTAGTTAGCCCTGGACATGTGGACACTCAGGTCCCAGGGCTCTGGGCCAGTGCTGTAGGTTAAAACTGAAAAGATCTGGGTGAGTGGCTAAGTATGAGATTGTGATGCCCAAACATCTTTTTTAGTTCTGGTTCCTTCCTCCAGGATTGCTGACTTCCTGTCAAGGATGGACTTAATTCCCAGGGCCTTAAAGTTTATGGACTTGGATGAAATTTCAGAAGCACACTTCCCCATAGTCACGTGAAGAAAACCCTCAGAGACTCTTTAAAAAATGCAAATGCATGAAAAGCAAATTTGATTCAGCAAGTTTACCATTAACAAAACCTTCTTGGGGGTGGGGGTGGTACAGGCTGTTAGGAAGAAGCTTAGCAACTGCCCTGTTGAACAAAGCAAGCAAAGACGCAGAGAGGAGGGGAGAGGGGGAAAAAGCTGCATTTTGGTTTAGGACTTTTTTTTTTTTTAATTCCAAATTTCTGTTTAATTATCATTATTATCTACAAGTGATAAAAACAAGTGTTACCAGGATAAAATAAAAAAACAACTGGAGAAGGGCTTATGCTAAATTGGCATTTGAAAATTTCTTATAATAATCAGATGTAAAAGCTGTCTCCTTTTTATTTAAATTAAGGAATTACTTTTTACATTTGATATTTGGTATGCATTTAATTTCAGTGCAATAATATTTAGTTAATATCTACCATGTAGTGAAGGCCAAGGGTCTCAGTAGAAAAACCACTGGGTTAGGGCTTAAAAAAAAGTTTTAAAAGAAGGTAAAGACTTCAAAGCTTTTTAAAAAATTTTTAATTTAATGATTAAAATAATTAAATATACTGGGAATCATAACATAGTATGATCCATATAAAATTCCTTTTATGGATCATGGAATTTATATATATATATAAATCATGGAATTTACATATATATATATATATATATATATATATATATATATATAAATTTATATATATATATAAATCCCATGATCCATAAAAGGAATTTTATATACATATATAAAAAATTTTTGCAGAGGAAATTATTCATTTATATTTTAGGGAGACAAGCATCTTTTTAGACACACTTGTAGGGAACAACCACTATACTAGTGGATGTACTTGCTCAAGCTAGCATTAAAAAGAGAAGGTATCCTTCTTTAGTCAACTTCTCAAAAATAGCAACTAAAATGCTTGGTAATAAGTCAGGTTTAAAGTCTGTCATTTTCAAAGTTCTTCTTTAAAATTTGTAGTTTTTGTCCCTTTGAAATAACAGGAATTGTTCTTTAAATGTTATATGCATAAAATAAAATTAGCATTGAAATATAATTATTAATTTATTCAGGACCACCACCCCAACACTAATTTCAGAAGTCTTAATAAAAAGCCTGGGCTTATGATTTTGCCAAAAGGCTCTTTTATTATCACCCCAGCAGATCAATAATAATCTTGAAATTACGGAATATACATAAAGGAAAACATCAGACTTACCAAAGCTTACAGCTGTAACAGTGCATGACACAAGGCATATTTGGGTGACATTGTTCAATTTCCTGCCTTTCAGCATCAGGTACTTTCTCTGAGCAGCTGAAGTCTTTAGACATAGGCAAAACAAGAAAGGGGGCAGTTTTCAAAAATCAGGAGCTCTGAAAGGTAAAAACAGGCCTGACAAACACCTCTAAACATATCAATGTCTTAAAAGAAACATTTCCCTTTTCATTCTCAATGTTTCTATTTGAAAAAATACCCACCTCCCTAAGGATTCTTTTTAAAAACATGTACCCTTCTGAGAGGTAGACACCATTAAGTTAATTTTTAAGGGTTCACAGTTAGCTTATAACCAAAAGTGAAACTTTGGCGGCTTTTGAATCCTTTTCAAGTCATGAAACCTTAGAGACAAACTAAAGAGAAAAAGATCAGATCCCAGCCTACCTCTTTCAGCCCAAGAGAATTCCCTTTCCAAGTAATTTCTTAAGTAGGGAGGCTGTGTCAGAACCCCCAGTTCTCCTCCTTAGAAGTTACTAAATCAGCAGAAAGACCGACAATAATGGCACATGAAATCTAAGTTTTGTATAGGAAACAGTCAGGCCGTCTACACTTTGTTATTCACTTGATAGACAGAGCCATTTTGACAGCCCTAACCTTGGAAACCACAGGTCCTGCTGAGCTCAGCAGGAGTCAAACGCTGAGTACCATCTGTCAAAGCTTTATTTCCCCCTCCTTATCCACGCCTTTACTATAAGATGCTAACAAGAGCACAAGAGCGCTGAATGAAACTCTCTAACTACATTTAAACTTGTGTGCATTGTAACAGTAATGTTCGGGAAAGAATTCACTCTCAGAATCTACCAAATTTGAGTGAACCATATTGATTATTCTGTGCTCTTTCTTAATGGTTATCGACAGAAGGAAGTATGGGTTAAGGAACTCCATAATCACACTCTAAATAACAAATATCCCCCCAATTAGGAAACTGCGCAACATTATTTTATGGTTTTGCCAACTTTGTAACTAAAATAATGGATGGTTTGGAAAGTTGTCAATGTGTACAAAAACAGCAAATTCACTTCTTTCCAAAACAGAGATTTTGATAAGTTAAATTCTGGCTTTATAAAAGAAATCTCATTCCGAACACATACTCTCTCCCTCTCTCTGGCATAATCAATTCTAAAAAATTAACAGGTCTAATCATAATAAAATCAATTAAATCAAGTCTGGTATTGGCTCATGCAGCATTTGTGTAGAAGAAAATATATCAACTGAAAACAACAGAACTAGAAAGGGCATTTCTTTCCATTAATTGTTACCAAAATGTTGCAATTTTTTTACATGAAATACTTTTAATCCTTAAGCATTTGGCATATTTTTTTTGAAGTAGAAGTTTATTTTATATTTCATTTAAAAATTTTGCATTTAGTGAAAAATTTGGACAGTTATTAAAATCCTTAAATTTAAAGTACCATTTCCAACACACAGTACAGAATTTTAGAGGACATTTCTATAAATAGGGAATAAAATAACAGAAATTTAGAATTTAAAAGTTGAAGAAATAGAGGTCTTTTTAGCATAATTATTCACATTTTAATTTTCAGTTATTTTCCTTAAAATATCACAGTTTCATTTTGCTGTTATTTCCCTGTATATTTCCTCAAATGCTGAAAATATAGTTATTTGAGATACTACATGTCATAAGAATAATGTTATATGTACTTTATAATATACTGAAGCAAAAATTGTGTACTGGTTATTCACATTGTCAAGAAGATATTGTGAAGAATTTTAAAAGTAACTAATGACTGCTTCACCCAGATCTGCACTTTTCACATTTTTCTGAATGTGCTGTGCACATAAATCTTGCAGATTTGAGAACCCTGACATGTAAACTCTTGAATGTATTTATTTAAAATATTTTAAATAAATTGCTCATCCAGAAGGAGATTTTATTATATAGAGTAACTAAGACATGATTTGTTTTGCAATGTCAAAACTAGATAACTAAAAAGTTTCTAATATGAAGTCTGTTTTTTTTTTTTTTGTCCATCAATTTCAAAGACATTGCTATTTGTATGTTTGTGAACATATACTCGAAGACATTTTAAAGAAATACGAATAGATAATATGAGAGTTGAGGCTTTGCCCCTTGTCTGGTCTTCCTTCACCTGCCTTCATCCTACCACGAGAGAGGCTGATCTCATTTAGGAAGCTGTCTTTGCCTACAGGCAGGGTCCCTGCTCAGCACACACTATCTCCACCTGCATGCTGATGCCTGGGATCCTTTCTCCTGAGGGCAGGATGCAACTTTCATTGCATTGAGAGGGAAGGTTCCAGTATCCCGGAGGGTGAGCCGGCGGTCTTAAGAGAATCTTACTGACAGTTACTCTGAGAGCAAAGAGTAGCAGAGGAGCACAGGAGGGGAGGTATCTCCAGATGGAAAAGGAGTGAAGACAGCAGGGGAGACTGGCTTCTGCAGGGTTTTACCTAAGAAGGACTGTTGGATGTGTCCACCCAGTCGCCTTGCTTTGCATCACCGTGTGTAGACTTTCTTGATCCTCATTGTTTTGCTGTTAATTGTCAGAATCTCAGAGTTAAACAGATGTTAAGGGTCATTTAGTCCAACCCTTCATTATAGAGATGACGAAACTGAGACCCAGACAAGTGTACTCTGTGGTTTATCTACACCCTGATTTAAAAACAAGACAAGAAAAGAAAAAAGAAAAAGCCAAGTTTTTAATGGGATTCAAATGTGTTTAAATCCATCCAGAGATGTTGTTCCTGTAATTTAATTTAATAAATTGGTACCATCAATATACAACTCCATTGCACAGGTGGGGCAGCCGTAACAGAAGAACTGATATAAATGGATTCTGACCCCTTGTCTCTGGATTACCAGGCTGGGTGTCACCTACAGAACTATTGCATCTTAAAATGCAAAACAGGTTTCTGTTGCTTGCTGTGTGTGCACCAAAACTGATATTGCTTCAGGGGTATTTAAAGATGCCACCTAAAACTGTGCCTTCTTCAAGACACACACACTCTAGTGTGTTGACAAGTCTGTAGGGTCACCACAATTAGGGAGCTGTTTTTGTCCCCATCTTAGAAAGTGGAGAGTTTTTCTCCCAAGTTACTTTCTACCTTTTCTGTGATCTTTCTTTAGAACTATACAGATGTGAGACCCAATATCTGGTTTAAACCACATGAGGAAGTAGATAGTATCATCTCTCTATTTCTAAGAAGCTGAGTGTGCTCCAGCTTCTGTTTTCCTCATCTGTAAAATGGGGATGATCATATTACTGATCTCTGAGGGTTTAATGAGCATGAGCAATGCTGGTGAAGATTTCAGTGTTGAGTGAGTGCTCAGGAATGTTCAATTTGTTATTAGTATCCACGGAGTTCAGGGTCAGAGTTAATGATAATTTATGGTAACTGTATTAGGTCTCATGATTACTATATTTGTCTTCATTTTTCCATCTGTAATACTTGTTTTCTTTTAAGGAAATAATAAAAACAATTGAATAACTACTGAAAATTAGAAAACAATAATCTGTATCCTATTTATCTTGATACAGAATATGATGGGTTTCACAAATATTTTCCTTTTTTTTCCTAGAAGTCTACCTAACTTTACACAGTTGGAATCATGATATACTACCATTTTATAACCTGTTTTTCCTCTTGACACTATACCAGAGTTTTTCATGTGGCTGCTAAGTCTAGGGGAATATCATTTTAAGTGAACAAATATTCTGTAATTTGTCATATCCTGATGAGAGAGTATTTTGGTTGCTTTTAGTTTTTCTGTTACAAATTATATACAATTTTATTGTATATAACATTTTCTTCTTTGAAAATATTTTCTTAGATGATATTTGTAGAAATTAGATTCTAAATTAGAATTTGAATAGTTTTGTAATATTGCTACTTATTGCTCAATCTGCTTTTCTATTTCCACTAATCTTATTTTATAAGGTTTATCATATCATTGTTTTACAAATATCTCCATGAGGATCTGTATTGGACTTCCACTCTGCTTTTGAAAGATGTGATTTGCTCAAAGTCAGGGGTTCTGCCAGCACTTGAAGCCCTCTTTCAGCTATACCAGTGATGCTAGTGGGAAGTAATTCTCAAGGTCCAGACATAGAACAGCAAGCCATATATATGTTCAGGACCAGTTGAAACAGCAGAAAGGGCAGAAATTCAGGAGTTGGGAGTTCTGAATACAAATCCTGCTACCACTAATCATCTACTGTTTGACCTTGGTCTCTTAACCAAACTATAGATCCAATGATGCTTGCCCATATTTTCTGGGGAGTTTGAGGCTTAGATAAAGCACCAGAGTGCTCTTTATGCAGGTGAATCACTATGGGAGCAAAGATAGCTTCTTGTTCTCTGAATCCTGAGTATGAGTTGCTCTAAGAAGCTGCAGTACAGTGTTTCTCAGACTTGACTATGCATGTGAATTATCTGGGGATCTTGTTAAATTCTCTTTCAGTAGGCTTGGGTGTGCTTGAGATTTTGTGTTTCTAACAAACTCTCAGACAGTTCTGCTGTTGCTGCTGCTGCTGTTTCATGGACCACACTTTGAGAAGCAGCCACAGAGTACCAGTGGTCGGTCTTTCATTTGCATGGATGACTGAATCAGTTGTACAGAGCAGTTTACCCATGAAGCAGTTCTAATAAGTGAATAAAGGATGAAGATTAATAGTAGCTGGCCAGATGCCCCTAGAGTGGTGTCTAATATGCTAGAATGTGTGACTATTCTGACCTGTTTGTGGAGGAAATATTGTCTGATCTGTTTCCTCTTTAAAGCTTGAGATCCCCTGAACCTAGTAATGTCCCTTTCACTAAAATGTGGTAGGAAGTGGAAGGCAGCAACCTGGAATCATGGAGTAATGTGGAAAAGCCCTAGCCTTTTGCTCTTATCATTTCCCTTATCTGAGCACAAACTTAAAAGTGACCTCTTCTATGCTCATTTTCTTATTTTGTATGGTCAGTGATTCTACCCAAATCCCCTTAAAAGCTAAGAAAATTTGCCAACGGCACCTTTGAAGCCACAATGCCTTGTTACAAATCTTTCCAAACATCTGCTGCATGAAAAGAAGCAAGATCCTGCCGTGGCTGGGGGGCAGGAGGGCAATTCGGAAGTGGGATATCCAGGGGCAGCTCTGCAGAGGCCCTTTCTCTGCGTGCAGGGGGCTGGGGAGGCTCCTGCACCTGTTCTTACATTCCTGCTGGCTTCTGTTGTTTGTAGTTGCTGTCGAAGGCATCCCAGGAGAGGACTGGGCCAAGCCTTGTCAGGCAACAAGAAAAGCCCGGAGTGTGGCGGTTGGCCTCACAAATGTTAGGATGTTCACTGTCCCTGTAGGGACTCTCATTTCCCTTTCACATCACCACGAGGCTGATGTCAAAAGGAACTCCTTTGAGTTTAGGTATTGTGGCAGAGAATGGTCTTTTGAAACTCAGGTGACATGGATAGCTTAGTTTCATTTTTCTAGAACTAGAATGCTACCAGCAGGACTCAGAGGTCCATGACCATCTGGCCCTGTGGAATTATTCCCTAGAGAGTAGAAAGCACATTTTCAAGAAGAAAGAAGAAATCCTAGGTTGGGAGAGGAAAAGTGGTGGGTCTGAGCATTACACCCAGGCCTTGAAAGATGAGCCTTGCTTTCAAGGAAAATAGTTGAAGGGAGAATATAATATGCACTTTTGTTTTTCTCTGCAAACCTTTTGGTGGGTTGCTGCATGCAGTTATTTTAACTTAATAATGCTTTGTCCTTACTATCATTGTAAGCCTTCACTTTAGGGTGTGTGAACAGTTCATGATAGAAGAAAGACACAGATTTTTGACTGTGTGTATGTGTGTGTGCTATTTATCTTATAAGTGGTTGGCCATAGGATTCTTTTGTCTATGATTAAAAGTTTTTCTTCTTGTTCCTTCATCATCAAAATCTTGGTTTATAATCTAAAGCTCAGAAAATAGCTTCTGAAGTACAGTGAACTAGTTTTTAGGGGATGCTTAGCCAGCAGATCTTATGTTATTAAAAGATAATTCAGTAAAAAATGAATTTTTTAATTGCTAAGAAGATAGTGTTTGCAATCAAAAGCTGATGCCCCTCTTTAGCACAGACACCCCTTAATTCTCTGATGGCTTTAGAGCAACATAAAGTTACAGTCTATATTTCAGAATAAACTTATTTATCAGAAATATAATCACTCAAAACATATCAGGAGTGCTGGAGCTGTAGCTCTGTGGTAGAGCACTTGCTTCACAAGTGTGAGGCACTTGGTTCGATCCTAGTACCACATAAAAACAAATAAAGGCATGGAGTCCATATACAACTTGAAAATATATATGTATTTTTAAAAAATCAGGAATTCTGGATTTTATTTCCTCAAAATCTTAATATTTTAGGTTTCAGTGTATTTTGATTATTACAAACAATGTTTGTGCTACTAAGGTTTTTGGAGCCTTTTAAAATCTAAATTGGAACTTTTGCAAGATCTCTTCCTGAGGATATTATTTTCCGGCTATTCAGTGGGAAGAATCTCTGCAAGCTTGGTTCTTACCCTAACAATTGTGCTTGGCTATGAATAGGGGAACTGACTAAGCTTAGGATAGTTGGAAGTGTTGTCAGAGGAGAGATAGAACTACTGTAAAGGGGACAGAAATTGCCAGTCTTTCTGCCCCTCAAAGTCTTTCTTCCTGCTTTTAAGGTCAGCAGGAGGATATTGACTCCAGAGAAAAGCCTGTCACTTCAGGGAAAGAACTAGCCTGTGGTATTGTGAACTGTTTCTTTCTAACTTCCAGCTGGAGCACAAGAGAGACTGCTTAGAAGCCCAACTCTCTGGGAGAACTGCCTTTTGCTGGGAGACTGTCAGTAAAGGGTTATCTTCCACATGGTCATCCAGCAGCCTTTACATGAGTTTTTACATTTCATTTTGGAGGGGCTCCAAAAAGGAATAAATATTTTATTATAGAAAAAAAAATAAAAAAGGTAAACCCTAGTATGAACTCATCAAACCAAATTTAATTTTTTTCTTGGAGGTAAAGGAAAAACCACGATGACATTGTACTCCTGAAAGTTGTATTTTTTAAGCACCCTAAAAGCATACATATTCATTTGTAAACTCATGTAGTAATTGACTTATAGAAACCTTGAAACATGTTCTGTCAGAGTAAAATGTTGTTTCATGATATTTATTCAGCCTATAGAATAGATTTCTCCACACAGTAGCCTTCCTGGCAATGAATATATTGTTTATTGGTATATGCTTTATGGGAGTAAGCACTTCTAGTACATTTTTCATGCCTAAGGAAGCTAACAGAGGTATGGCATGATTAAGTTTATAGGTCATGAGATAAATTTACATGGAGAGCCAAGTTTCCAGCTTTGAGCAAATGACTTATCTGTAATTTGATGCAAGTAAAATGACTGACCTTTCAAATGTTTGTTGGGTTTCAAGTGTCCGGAACAATCAATATGTACATTATTGTTTATATTTTATGCTCCTGATCCCATTAATGTATGCCTATAGAGTGCTGGGACACCATTAGTTTCTGATACTTCTGAAGCTATTGGGTGGCATTTATCAAACAGGAAGGCAGCACATATTGACTTGTGACAGTTTTTGCATTTCTTGAGCTCAATGTTTCATGAGCTGCTTATCCAGTT